GAAGTGTGTGTGCAAAAACTGTGTAGACCTTGTATGCACTTTGTATTAAAAACGATTAAATAACAAAAAGGCAGCCAGTGCGTGTTTCTGTCATTTTGACACAGTCAAGTGGGCAGACTAATCTGCCTGTGTGCAATATGTAATACTGTACCATGATCCTCATCTTTGTCATTAGCATATTTCTCAATCATCAGGAGTGGTTCAAGCTTTTGATTTCAGACCACTGTTCTCTGATTCTGCTGTCAACTCAGCATCTTTCACGGCCATGACACTATACCAGTGGTTCTTAACCTTACCGAACCCTCCCAGTTAATATGTACATTCACCGAACCCTTCATAAGTGAAAAATAAATATATATAATTCAAGATATAAAAAATAAATATATATATAATTCATGACATAAAAAAACGCATTTATTAAAAACAGAAAAAACTAAATAAGATTTCAGGAGATAAGTATACTTTTTTTTTTTTAAATAGTACGACGTACTATCACGACAGTCACATATTGACGACTAAGCTAACTAAATTTCCCACAGCACAGATTGGACAAGCAATGTCATGTGATCATCTGCAGCCAGTGATGGCCAAGCGGGCGTGTCATAACTAATTAACATGTTGAGTGCGTGTGTCTCACCCTGCATGGCAGAGGCTCCATCGAACCCCTGAGACCGAACCCAGGTTAAGAAACACTGCACTATACTATAACAGAGCTGCAACACACCAAATAACCAAGAGTCCATTTGAGCAGCCACTGTACATTCAGTGAGCTCAGCGTTGTACAGGCATAGTTCAAAACATGCTGATGGACTCTATTATTAATAAATAATGATAGCACTTTGGTTGTTTTGTGATGAGTTAACAAGCCTTACTTGCTGTAACAATCCACAGAAAATGAGCTTCAACCCAACTGTATGTCTACTTTTCATTTCCTTTTGTTAAAAACAGAGTAGCGAATATTTCCGCAGGGAATTCCTTTAATGGTTGCTTCTCTACTGTGGAACTCATTTTAAAATGCAGCTGCAAAAGGTCTCGCAGCATTTTTTGTAACTGTGGTTTGCACCGTCATGCATTTGAGTGTGTTACATCAGCCACTTGCATATAGCTAAAGAAATAACAAAAAAAAAGCAAAACAAGAGATGCTTCTTCACTCAAACCTTTGATTGCCACATCACCTTTAGATTACTGCCTTTCCTGCTACTACTTTCCTACTGTCCATTTTAGAGCACAACCTACCGAACACACCTTGCTGGGATGCAGCATGTAGCCCATGAGCCCACAAGACCAGTACAAGATTATCACTTCTTCAAAGCAAGATTTATTGCAGTGATACTCTTTAAATCAGTGAAGGGTTTTGACTGATGAAAACACTTAACGGTGAGCTGCAAATTGTTGGCGCCCGTGGCCTTAGCCATCAAAGCTGGACAGCTGCTGTGAATTTGGTTGTCGTTTCCACGTATTATAAATCTGGCAAAGGTAAAGTAAAAATGTTGCCAAGGTTAGCCCTATGCAGGAGGAAAAAAAAAGAGAGGAACTATGAGTGTGAGTCATCTCTTGGGGAGCTGTCACCAAAGATCAGTGTGTCGTTCACCTCTCTTCCACCTTAGGTTATGTCCTTCCTTTCTTCCATCCTTCCCATCCTCCATGCTGTCATAGTTCACTTCTTCCAACCCAAGAGACACAGAGCGTTTGTGGTGGCCAGTCTGTCTTCTCAGAAAGTCTGGTGCGAAAAATCTGTCCACACCCATCTGTCCCAATTTTTGTGGACTGCATTGGAGCAACACCATGCATACATAGAACAAACCATGCACCCAAAATGTCCACAATAGATGAATGAAAAAGATGAGATGTTAATGGGCTGGCCTGTAACATTTTGGCAGACCCTGCAATTTTTTTTTTCCCACAAAAGAAAGTCATTGTCATTAGCTTCGCCACACTACACTGATAAGTGCATTCATAGGCAAAAAATAAAAAAGTCTATATTAATAATTACTCCCATGGATGAGAGCATTTAATAAGGATGATGATCCCCACAGAGCACCTCTCAAAACGACTTTTTTGCTATGCTACAACTGTCCCATTTCAGCCGTAATGAAGCATGTGTGTCCCAATAAGAGTAATAATTAACAACTAGTCACAGTCACAGCCCAAACTGTACTCAGTCTAAAAGTGGTCATAGTGGTGCACAATTGCAGCACAAAATGCTGAGTGGTATCTCAACGTTTTGAGTGAAAATCAAAACTTGGAAATATTATCCTTGTGGCTTGTGACGGCAGCATACAAAACTTGGAAGAAAATGAATTCAGTGTAAGTAGGAATGGAAATGAAAAAATATCATAATGTGTGTATCTGCAATTTAGAATGTCCCCGTTCAGAGTGATTAGATGACTGAAGGTTATACTCTAGATGTTATTTGTTTTTATTTTATGTTTTGTGAACGTGTTGCTTGTGAATATTTATTTTTAGGTGGCAGTTTTAAGATAGTATGCTCCAAACAGAAGCTAATTTAAAAAAACATGAATGTCTACAGTCAATCAGGTTTGTGGGGAACGTATTTTTGTGAACAAAGGAAAGTGCATTCATCCTCAATCATTCATGACTACTGCTCCATAGCCATCATTATTACAATTTTAAAGTGTGGCCTTCACCTTCAGGCAATAGAATGTCCTCTTGAACATCAAATAGTTATGTTTTGTGTGCCTCTTGTTAAACGTGCTTTGCATGCCACAGGCAATCACCCAAGTATGCATAGCCCATTTCAGAACACATACAAGCATTCTATCTTGAGAAATGAAGCATATACAGGAGGGAAAGTCTCCTTCGTGTTTGTGAGTAAGGGTGGTAATTGCAAATTGGCGTAAAACAAACAAGGGGAACAATTTACTACAGTGGTGTGATAAGAGGCGGCCAATGTCAAGAGGACAGTTTATGTCTGGAGTGATAAGCCAGAGAATGAATTTGCATGTGGTATGGCTGCCAGTAACCTGGGCTTGCTTCAAAGCGTGCCAGTGCAAGTCCCTTATCTTGTGGTGGAGCCAAGTGCCTTGATTGGTGCTAGCAATTGTGTCTTCAGCAGAAATATCATAGCTTCTTATTTGCATCATCTTGTGTACACAAATAAGAGTCCAAGTCAAATTGGATCGGACACAACCAGAGCAATGCAACGACCAGCTCTAATGGAGACCTGGGCTTCCAAATTAGAACACAGTTGAGCTGCAGTAAACAATGTAACGTCTCGAAGGACAGGCTGAATTGCACGGCTCACCGCATAATTCACAAAAATGGCCCCATTAAAAATAACGATAAAAACATGTCTGACATTTGAATACCATCTTGTCTGGCAGCGTACTTATACAATGTAACCATGCAAGCTACATTATGCTTTGTTTTATGGCTGAGTTATAACACAGCACTAATCTGTGGCAGTTTGGTTAAATAAATCAATACATTCGCTCGCATGTTTCATAAATTTGTCTCATTTGTTACGGCTAACATCATGAATGTGTGTGTGTGCATCACTGCGTGTTGGAGCCTAGCCTGCAATGTGGGCTCATTACCATTCAAGCAGCCAGCCCCTGAGTCCCTGACCCAAATTCAAGATGACACATGTAAAATAAACAAATTCAAAGTCAACCTTCTACTCATATTTTCAGCGTATTGTGGCACAGATGTCCAGTGATTCCTGGACCTGCCAATATTGTTTTGTAAAGAGCAAGGTGATCTGGGGAAACTGCAGTCATAGGTGCTATTGTGGCTTCTTTCAGTTGGTTCTTTGAGCGGACAGACGGTCTGGTTACATGACATGTTTTTTTTTCTTTACATTTTTAAAAGTTCCCTCTGCAGGCGAAATTAAAAGAATATGCTTTAGAAAAAAAATAACACTGAAATCACTGGAATCACTGTGTGCATGCCATGCCAGTCGTTGGCAACGCTGTAAAGATTGACTAATGGCATGTCCACGGACTGCCTGTCTGCCAGGTCTCACCCGAAACTGGTATGGTAAATGTGCACTTTGCGGGTGAAAACGCACAAACGCAAACAGCAGCATTGTGTCCATTATCGTTTTGTTTGTGATGTATATATGCGTGAATGTGAGCGGTTCCTACTCATAGTAAATTTTTAAAGTACTGTATTTTCCACACTAAAAGGCGCACTGGATTATGAGGCGCAACTTCAATGAATGGCCTGTTTTGTATTTTTTTTTCATATAATGGACGCACTGCACTATAAGACACAATCCACAATGCATCCATTAGATGGTTCTACGCTCAAGGAAATCCGAACAGAACTGTCGCAACACCACTCGAGTGAAGTGCGCCTCAGTAGTCTATAGTCGCTCTCTACTGTGCGCGCATGAGCGCGAGCACGTTTGCACGTGGTCCAACCAATCAGCGCCGAAGCAACCACGTCACAGATCAAAGAAGCTTTGAACAAACGACAACAGCTGAGCTTAGTTGTTGAGTGGCGTTGCTACAGAACGATCAGATGTCAGTAAAACTTATTTAATAAAGCAGTGACATAGTTCACTTAACCAACAGCAAGTTATAACATTGACTCGTTAACATTGAACTCTCTTGCCGCTGCTCTATTTCTGTGTTCAACTGCGTAACCCCTTCCCTTAAGTTTGAACTCTGCGTTGTAAGCATGTCTCTAGCAAGGAGCCATTTTGGGGTTGACATATTACGTAAACACCATGAACAAGGCGCATCGGATTTTAAGGCGCGCTGTGAGCTTTTAAGAAAATGGAAGGTTTTTAGGTGCGCCTTTTAGTGTGGAAAATACGGTAAATTCTAAATTAAACCTGACATTGCTAAATGTATTTCAAAATGTTACTTTCAATGTACAGGTTGAGGAATAATGAAGATGAACTTGCAAAGGAACTGATACTGAGAAACAATCAAAACTTTTCTGTATTTGTGTGAGACTTCTTTTTGTTTTATTGTAGAGCACTTAAATTTAGTATGCGGTCCCTGGTACCGTGGTGGTGGTGAGTAGCACAACACTAATACAGTACCAACTGGAGCTAATTCACATTCAGTCTTCAGATATTAAAATGCAGTATGTGCTAATCTACAGCACTATACATTTCACACACTTAATTAAACATGAGTCAGGAAGGAACGTATTTACTCTCAGAAGACATGATATGGTATCCTCCAGCCTGCAAGCCTCTCAGCAGCCGAGGAGTCTGACCGTGAAACATTGATCTCACTGTGATTTGCCTTTGGGTGCCTCAAAAAAAAAAAAAATAAATGCTGAGTCGTTCAATTTGCAAGCAGCAACATTCACTGCTTAAGTGCAGATTAGCATTAATTGGGCTTCCTGAGGTGAAAAGACAAGGTGATGATGTACTATCTATCGCCATCCGTGCACAAGGATACACTTGATTTGTTTGGCTGGTGGTAAACATCATGGTCAGCTTCACCAGTATGAAATGAAATATTTACAAGATAAACTACAACGGAACTGGAAACAGATGTCATCTACAGCATGTCAAAGGCGGAATTCTGTAGCACTGCGACCACAGACATAGGAGGTTCTAACTGGGTCACTGTTATATCAAGGCCACATGACAATGTTTGAAGAGCTTAAATCATTGTTCAAATTGTATTCGCAGACAGATTGCTGCAAAGTGAAATATGTTTTAAACAGTGAAATTATTCCAACATGTCTCCACTCCGCCTCACCAAATTTTTGGTGTAAAACACAGGATCAATACTACTTGACACTGACCTTTGTTTTATCTCTCTCTCTCTCTCTCTCTCTCTCTCTCTCTCTCTCTCTCTCTCGAGAGAGAGAGAGATCTTTTTTTATTCCAGCTCTGATAGTTGTTCGTTTCTGTGTACGACTGGCTGGCAACCGGTTCAGTGTGTCCCCCGCCTACTACCCGAAGACAGCTGGGATAGGCTCCAGTATGCCCCCTGTGTGTGTGTGTGTGTGTGTGTGTGTGTGTGTGTGTGTGTGTGTGTGTGTGTGTGTGTGTGTGTGTATAAAAAAAAGGGAATCGCAGATGGTGTTGTGGTACAATCGCCTAACTTGTGGGATCAGTTCCCACTCAGTGACTGTATGGATGTGGGTGTGAATGGTTGTTTGTCTCTAGATGTGCCCTGCGACTGGCTGGTGACCAGTTCAGGGTGTAGTCTGCCTTCTGCCCGAATTCAATTGGGTTAGGCTCTAGTACAGGGGTGCCCAAACTTTCTTGACCGAAGATCTACTTTTCGATCAACCAATCTCCCGTGATCGACCCGTTACTGCGCACGCGCGCATACGCACGCACACACGCAGGTACACACGCATGCCATGATGAGCAATAGCCTGATGCTGAGGCATGCGACGCACTTAGGCAGCCTGTTAACGATCGTAGCTCACGCGTACCGTTTTAAAATGTTTCTCTCAACCCTCCAGATTCCCATTTTTTGCCCGTCCCCTCGGTGAATTGTACAAAACAAACTGAATGAGAATAATGATAATGATAAAAGATATAGCGCAACAACTCTGATCACAAGCTGCAACTGCAGACTGCTGAGCGCTAACAACTTCCGGTGACGCAGTCACACGTCACCGTAGCTAACAACTTCCGGGGACGCAGTCACACGTCACCGTAGGTTAAAGATGACCTGCTTTATTTTATTTTATTTTTTAAATATACGTTTTGTGAAAGTGAGACTGATAGAATGATTAAGGTGCAGTGTGCATTAACACAAAACATATATTACCAGTACTAACATGCACAGAGACACAAATATTAGTTTTTTTTTCCCTCTACACCCCTCGGATCGACTTGGGACAAGTCCTTGACCTACTGCTCGCGATCGACGTAATGGGCACCCCTGCTCTAGCAACTCCCTTCAGTATTAGTGGTGTTGAAAATGGATGGATGGATGGATGGATGGACACGATCAATGACAGAGAGAGAGAGAGAGAGAGAGAGAGAGAGAGAGAGAGAGAGGGCAATTGTGTGCTCCTGAGAGCTGCAAGTTCATTGTTTGGCACCTTGTCAGGGTAAAAAGATGGAGGTGTACATATGCACAACAAATTACACAGATACACATCCACAGTCGTCAGTTATTTGAACAAATCAAGTCATGTTGTTAGTAGTCGAGTCATTTTCTCAAAGTAAATATGTGACTAATATTATATAATACCATACCATATTGAATTAATAAAGTCAGTTCTGGGGCAATGCAGAGGAGACTTTGAGAAATGAATAATGGAGAGCAGATAGTAGTCCCTATGCATTCTAATTCGCATGGGAGAGGCGCTGGTGTGTGATGTGTATCACAGAGATGCTTTCACAGAATACAGAGATGTATCACTTGCTCCTATGTGATCATTTTGTTTCTCTCCTCACCATTTTGTTGTGTTGATACATGTGTTTCCTCATTCCTGACCTGTCTAGTCACCACATTGTTGTCACTCATCTGCACTGTGTTATTGGATCAGCAGCATTCAGCCAACAATGTGCCCATTTTATCTCAGTATTGTTGCTAACAAAGTTGTTTAAATGCCAATTGGGGGAACAAACATTTTTATAGGAAACAATGCCCTTAAAACATCTGAGTTCATCCTGGCAGCCCATCACATGAATAGAATATACCCTCAACGGGATGAAGTAATCAGGTTCCCATTTGAAGCAAGTGTCTCATCCTCAAAATTTGCCAAGTAAGCGTTTTGGTTTTACAGTTTCAAATGATCAACTACTTTTTACATTTGTGTGAAAAGAATACTAAAAAAACAATACCCTTATATGCATCTGTCAAGCCAATCCCCTTTACTAAATGCCTTTATTATGCTTCATTAACTTTAAGACTGAGTATTTTATCGTTTTTATGGGCAACAATTTACGGCGGTAAACAAATTTTTACAGCCTCTATGACAGCAAGGAAGTAAAATGCTACAACCCTTGAATTGAGTATTTCTATATCCATTATTTTGAGCCGAACGATTGGAAGTCAAACGGCCGTCCTTTTACGGACTGGAATATCATGAATGGTTTTCAGTAAAGAATCGCTCTTTAAAGACACTGAGTCTATACCAGACATTTGCCAGTCAAAGAGACGGTTCATCTGGATTCAAAAACTGAGGGTTGATGTTTTAATTTTGTATTTTGAATAATCAAAGTGGGGGAGTATTGTGGAAGTGATGAGGCAATTGTCTTTGATAGCCAAGTTAAGACTCAAGGTGAAGCTGCAGTTATGCATGCATGGAACATATGGCGTGTCACCTACAAGGTGTATCAAAAAGAATTCCAGGCCTGGTGTCAAATCCAAATCACAAACTACAATTTTTTTCCCCTTCAAAGAAATGGGCGAATAGGGAGGTTGCTACGGCACTTACGTGTTCTTGTGGCCAGGAACAGTCTGATGCTCAGGGCACTGAGAGCTGGGCATATTCATGGTGAACCAACCACCATTCTGCCACATTTCTTTTCATACACTGCACAATGGAAACACACAGAATCTCTTTGTAAATGTGTTGGTTGATCTTTTAGGCTACATTGAAGGGGAAGCACTTTGGGCTCTATTGTCATATACAGGTGCCCATGTGCTTGGCGTAAAAATGGGCACAGCTCCATTTTCGTGCTGGGACAAGTCCAGTGTTTGGGACCTCGATGAGCCTCACTGGGCATCGGAGCTGCCGTCACCCTGATGCACCTGAAAATTTGGTCTCAGAAAGTTGACTGAGCTCAGCGTAAAAATGCATGCATATTCTTCTGCATGCTGGGATGAGTCTAGTTTAGCATGTTTGTGAATCTGGTAGTCCGCATTGCGTGTAGTTTGACATTCAAGTCAAGTCAAGTCAGTTTTTATTGTCAAATATGCTCTATGTGTAACATATAGCACAGATGAAATTATTTTCCTCTCTCAACCACTGTGCAAACATGTAGTGCATTGAACACACAGAGCTAAAATTTACGTAAAAATTTAAGACATAAATATATGAATTTCAGCAGACAGAGGGCATTTTCTCTAAATGCTGATAAATCTCACAGAGAGCCATGATTTATTTATTCTTTTACAGTATATGAATGACAAAAAGTGGGTACATAAATGTATTGTACCATCTGTAATCGAATGGATGAACATTATTTAATTGTACTGCCTTTGAGTATATGTTGCTGGGATAGCCAGATAAACCAACATATATGGAATAATAATTTCTGAACAAATTAAGGGAAAGTGGAGAAAGTCCACAGCACCCCGGATGATCACTCACAGCACACGAGGTGCCATGACACCCTTTTTGGGAATCGCTGATATAGTCGACAGTTAGTAAAATGTTGTCATGTGTCAGTTCGGGAACTCCATTCTTCCACTTACCAACTTACCACTAGTATAGTCATTAACATCAAGCAACATGAATGCTCCTGTGTTACCTCTATTCCCAAGTAGTAGCACACACTACGGATACGTTTATCTGGAATTTGTGCTAATGGCCTCAGCTGCACAACACTACACATCGCAGACAGGAAATCGAAGGAGCTGTAGTGATGCACAGATTAAGGCAAACTCCCTTGATGATACAAATGGACAAGGCATACGTGCAGAGATATTTGCCAGGGAGGTCACGCAATCTGAATGAAGCTATAGCAATCTATACGGGATGCTAATTAGACGATCTGAAAGGCAGGTAAATAGTGTCTATGTAAGTGATGGTTTGCTGTTGATGAGTGAGAACATACCGAGGACCTCAGTCGGCTTCTTGTGGGTCTTGATTGAGAGTGTGATTTTTGCAGTACAGCGCCGTGAAAAAGTATTTGCCTCCTTTCTGATTTCTGTGCTCTCTGCATATTTATCACACACAAAGGTTTCAGCCAAATAAATACCAAATGCAGTTTCTAAATGCCAATTTAATTTATTTAGGTACAAAGCAATCCAAACCTATCTGTCCCTATGTTAAAAAGTAATTGCCCCCTGAACATCCTAATGGGTTGTGCCAGCCTTGGCAGCAATAACTGAAGTCAAGCATTTGTGATAATTGAGAATGAGTCTTCCACATTGCTGTGGAGGAATTTTGGCCCACTCTTCTTTCAACCACTCTTGGGAATATTTGCCACTGTTTCGAGTTTCATCCATTTGTGGATAATGGCTCTGACAGCGGTTCGCTGGAGGCCCAGAGTCTTGAAAATGGCTTTGTAACATTTTCCAGCCTGATAGATTTCAATAAAAAAAAAAAAAAAAAAAAAAACAACAACAAAAAAGAACAATTTGTTTGGATAGTGGCAAGATGTATTTATTTCTTGAGAACCTGATTCTACTGTATTTACGTAATTTCTTGATTTAAAAAAAAAATGGTCATCAGGTGTTGCTGATGAAATAGAACTGAACTTTCCAAAAACTGTCGTCACAGTTACTTTGTGATTTAAAAAGGGGGCATATACTTTTTCACGTACGGATAGGTAATTTGGGATTCTTTTGGTGCCTTAATAAATTAAATTGGAATTTAGAAACTGTGTTTTGTTTTTGCTTGGGTTGTGGCTGTATGACATTAAAATTACTTTGATGAACTGAAACCTTTGTATGTGATAAATATGCAAAGAACATAGAAATCAGGAAGGGGCCAAATACTTTTTCCCAGCACTGTAGATAGACTGAAGCCGGCAAGTTGCATTTGGCAATTGCAAAATCCAATCAAAGACAATTTATGGTGGTTCAATAGCCTTAAATTAAATACACATTGCAGTACAACACATCCAGCTCACCTCATTGTCTTGCTGGGCGTCTTCCTCACTCATCCATTTTGCTCTTGCCTGATTTTTGTTTTGACTGTCAGTGACTGACGCAGTTCAATTGTGCCTTCCATGGAAAAAGGCAGGCTCTCAAGCCATGAAAGACAACTGCACAACCTGTTACTTAAGTGCTGCTATAGAAAATGAAAACCAGACAAATTGCTTTGACACAACAAATTGGTACGCAGTGGGGAAAACAACAGCTTGGGTGAAGCCATTTGTGAAATTCCATCAAACCAGATGTGGTTGATGATTTTTCAGAGAGGAATCTGTTAATGCCTCCATACTTGAATCCTCAGATGTTGGAATCTGAGATTGAATCAGCATGTTTGCTCATCTTGAATTGCCCTGGACAAAGTGCTGTAACGCAAGCATCCAGAAGCAGCTTCCAGAATAAGTGGAGGAAAACAAGAAAGTTTATCACGGTTGCTTTATCTCCTCGAAGAAAACCGCTGCCTCGTTGTATATGAGACGACAAGAATGCTGAGCTGAAAAATTTCTTTAGTCATGAATATAAGATGAGGTTTTAGATTCTGATAACACACTGTAATGGCCCCACAAGGCAAAGTCTATATCACTAAAACCGCAATTAAGGAAAATCGTGCTTATGCACTTCAGTATAGGGTTACTAAAGTCGATAAATGCTAAAGCATACTTAATTCATTAATACTTAAAGGGTACTATACGTACATGCAGATGTGCTAATGATGTTCAACACATTGCCTGTATTAAAAATGCAAATACTTTATTTTGATGCTTCAGAAGTATATATTATTATCTTTGTCAAGGAGGTGATGTTTTTTGTTTTGATCACAATCCATTCATGCAGCATTTCAGACATCGTTCTACTTGGTTGAATTCCAACTTACCCCACCACACTGGTTGATTTTTTTTGTCAATGTCATTTTATGGAATGTGTCATTTTCATTTATTTATTCTGTTTTCTGTGGAAGCGTCGCTGTGATTCTTTTACCAGGCAATCTACTATGTATTATATTGTGCCCTAGAATTATATTGTTTCCGTGTGCAGATCGAGGATCTGTTAATGGTATTTTTTTTTTTTTGTGTGACTTAAAAGTAAGAAAAATAGTAAGAAACATGCAAATTGGTGAGGTAAAACTGCTAGATGAATTTATGGTCAGAAATGAAAATGCGCAATAGAGTGAATCCATAATAACCAATCCGTGAAGTTGTGAAGTGCATCGGGATTTCAAACCTGGGGCCATTGTGTAACATGCCACTTTAGTAGCAAACCACCATTTAGCTGGTATGCTGCACGAAAATGGAATAAGCTGCCAACCGTAGTGAAGTCGGCCCCCAGTGCAAATGCTTTTAAATTCAGTTTAAAAACGAACCTTCATATTCTCCATACCGGTGATGTTTTTCAAAGTTTGTTTAAAATCATGTTTTCCAAAATCCTTTTCCTGCTCTGTACATTCTTTTAGTCATTTCAGTGAGCTACTTTTTGTATTAAATAAAACTTCCTTCCCTTGTCTTGTCTATCCAAAAGTAACAACAATTTGAATCTGTGATAGCTCTTGTATTGGATCTCAAAAAATTTCTAGGCGTACCTAAGGTGAGTGGAGATGCTCAGTTCCACTGCACCTTGCAAGAGATGACGCATGAAAGTAAACCACTAATGGAGGAGATTATGGGGGCAGTCGTCAGACATACTGTAGGTGAAGAAGCCCAAAATTTCGACTCCAGCATGAATGTCATCAGTGAACAATTCATCCTACTCTGTCAATCAAACAGCAATTGATCCTCCTTCTCCCATTGCATTGCATAAAGGCAACTTGCTCTGATGATTGTTGGCTTCAAGCATGGAGCTCCGCGATGGAGACCTGATCTCAATCCTAACAACAATGCTCTAATCTGCCCGAAACTACCCCTACAGCTCAGACTCCTCTAATCCCTTCTAAGAAAGAGGAGCCAGATGGTCATGAACAACTGCTGGGGTCTGAGGATGAGCACATGGATGGGGATGCCTGGAGCGCCTGCCTCTGTTTACCTCGTGCTTCAAGTTACCATTGGAAGCCTGCTAAAGTGGACCGCGTGCAGATGATGAGTGCATTTTCCAAGTGTGTGTGTGTGTGTGTGTGTGTGTGTGTGTGTGTGTGTGTGTGTGTGTGTGTGTGTGTGTGTGTGTTTCCAACAACATGCATGTTGGTCCACAAAGAGGAAACCGTCGTGTTTGGTCAGCAAATGTGCAATATTCCCTTCTCAGACCTGAGATGAGAATTCAGAACTTTAATGGCCAATCTGTTTACCAGCTGCAGCATCATTGTGAGTTTGAGAGTGTCAAAGGTACATCCCAGTCTCAGGAGCGTCACCATACTGCCCACCCTCTGTCCTGAATGCTTAAGGATCCCGAATGACCCCGAAGTGATTTGCAGCAACCCACAGGCTCACTAACCTTCTCCTGGGCACGTCTCTACACCACAATCCAAAATACCAGTCTTCCTGTCGCCAGCAAAGGAGACTTAACAACCACGAGCTGCAGAGTGACCCAACATCACTTAATTACTTTCCCCTCAGGACACTGATTAAACTGATGTTAAAATGGACCCAGAGTGGAACGAAAGCATTAATATCAATCCATGAAGAAGTAAGTAAATACTGTATGAGTAGTGGATGCTCATTAAAAGAAAATTACTGTGGTATGAATTCAGTTATTGCACCATAGGGCTTGTGTGGGGCAGTGGACAGCACACAGCCACCGAATGGTGTGCAGAAGCTAAAACGCATGAGAAGCTTTGCTTTTGAAGGCAGCAAGTGACTTTGACCAACAAACAAGCTTATTTTCTGACTATTGTGCTAAAGGGAGTGCAGCAGTGCTGAAATCTTGCCACAGAAAGGGGGTTAAGCTCAAATTGAGCTTTCGAGAGACCCGTGGAAATAAATGCCATCAAGCAAATCCCCTGAGACTGCCCCTGGAGAAGGCTGCTAAAGGTTGACTTATAGTCGTACACCGTGGCTGCTTCTGTTAAATGTGCACAATGAGCCTGAACTGACACACACAGGAAACGGAATTATGTTTTTGTAATGCAGAGTCTGTCTAAATGTGAGGTCTTTGCTCACAGCTCTGATCACTTGCACTTTTTAATCCATGGATTCATTTTTAATCACAATTAATCGAGGACACAGTATCTCACTGAAAAAGATGAAGCCATCACAGGAGGAAGCCAGGACTCGTCGACTCATTTCAAGTTATTTTAAACTGAAGAATAAAAATGAAGTGTGGGTAGTATGGAAATTCACCATGTTTCGAATATATCAAGTCCATACTTGGTCAGCCTTACCAGCCTCGAACACTGTGGTCAATGTTTTAGTTTGGAGGACTCTTGAGTTTTGCTGCTTTCCCAGTAATATGGCTCGGGACAGAAAAGAGCTACATCAACATTGTTTGACTCAGCTCAAACTCAGTGGAGACCTAATCCCTTATTTGGATCTGAAAAAATACTGAAAAGTAGGCTTGTTGGCTTCTTACAGCTGTCTCTCTTGAAAGATGACTTTTTAATCGCTTCATGCAGTTTCACCCCTACCCGTCACTCGGGATGGTATGCTATTATATTTTATTTATGCTTGAATACTATTTACCATTTTGCCATCACATTCAAATTATCATTCCATTCAAGTTTCACAACACACATTTCGCATTATGCTGGCAAATGAATTAGCTGCACATGTTAGAATTGCGCTACAGTGGCTGAGTAAGCACAGGAATGTTTTTTTGTTGTACAAGCCCAATTCCAATGAAGTTGGGACGTTGTGTTAATAAAAAAAATCATAGATGAAATCAAAAAGAGAATACAGTGATTTGCAAATCATGTTCAACTGATATTTCGTTGAATACACTACAAAGACAAAATATTTAATGTTCAAGCTGGTCTTTGATAAGTGTTTCCCAACTTTCTCAGTCTTCCAGGCGTTGAACACGATTTGTAAATCATTTTATTTTTGTTTGTTTAAGGTGATATCCCAACTTAATTGGATTTTGTTTTGTAGTAGACAGACCGGTGAGGCGAATGGCATTGACACACATTTCATAATGATATGCTGGAGTTTACCCAAACCCAGAAAGTCAATTGCATTAGATTGTCATCTTCGGCATGGCTTCTGTGGTCAGTGGGACTATCAATCACCTGAACTACCGTTTACAAGCATGGCTTGGTCCACTTTATTAGTTTATCAAGTTGTTGCTGTTGAACAGATAAAATCCTTAAACTGAAGTGTCATGTACAGTATGTCCTGATGAAGAGCTCACGTGGGAAAAAGACGAGAGAAGACTACACAATGATGTTCCGCTATCCACTATGGGAGAAATTAACAATCAATTTTATCTCGAAAAATGTTTGATGTTTGGGGATAGGAAGGAACTGTCCCTGATGGGTTTTTATTCTGATGCATATGCGTTGAGTATTTGAAATTCTAACAACTGAGGTCATGTCGCTCTTCTTAAGGTTGCCAATTGTTCAATATTGAGTCAAGAGCATCTGTGCTGGTTTTAGCCAAAAAAATTAAGTTCATTTTGCCGACTTACTTAATCAAGTTCACACATTCAGCCAAATTCATGACAGCCAATGTATTGATTATTTTGGCCAACCTTATTAGTCATTAAGTTTGAGTCTGGTTCCCTCAGTACGTTCGCTCTTTTTGCATAATGACAATGTTAAATTCCCCTACTGTAATTCGAGACATGTCAAAGCCTGAGAACTTGTAGTACACATATACAGAGTTCACAAGAAATGCAGAATCAAGGTAAATCAATGTCAGATTGAAAGAATCCCCATCAGCTAAGCCTCTCAGAGCCTCCTCATTCTCCTGCACTAACAGTTACATCAAGGCCGTGTGCAGTGAGGAGCCCCCCCAAGACATTTTGCTCGTCTCTGCCAATTACTTGGTTCTTCTCTCTGTGAAATGAGTAATGATACGAGGATGATATAGATACTGCAACTTGCCCTGAAGCAGCACATAGCACTGCTCTTCGCAGCCCCCGAGTCTATCAATGTGCAGCCCTGTCCTTACTTTTTTTTTTTTTAAGGAAGCAGGCAAAGAGATAGTTGTTGGTTTGTGTGATGAATGCGTACGTGTGTGATTTTTCAATGCTGACCTGTTCACAGCTGGGCTCTGGCTAATGATCTCGAAAGCTTCCAGTGTGTCCCAGTTAGAATCGGCTTATAGGCCAGTGGCATGGTGGGCCGCGGTTGATATGGATAAGCAATGTTTTTATACCTCAATCTTGGCTGCATTCACACAAAAGGCTGGCCCAATAACCCATAAGCCTTATAATCCACTCTGTAAACATTCAGGGGGATTCCCAGTTTTACAAAAGACGCCCATGCTTAGCCACGCAGTGGAGCCTGGCACACACTTATTTGTTTTTGTTTTTCTGAAGTCAATTACTTTGCATGCTATGCTTTCAGCGCACTCTTAGATCATTAACTTTTCTTAAAGAGCAAACACATGTAATAATGGAGTAATGACAAGATACACAAATCATCACTGTAAAAGAACAATTTCAAAGTGTTGCGTTCGACCTCAGCTGTTATGTTGCCGAACTTGGCTCAAACGTTGTTATTTTTTTTAAACATAAAAATATGCAACCAACCTGAAATTGACACCATTGAACTCTCATCCTCGATGCCACCATAATCCACCCCACTCCCCTTCCCTTCCCTCCTCTGGCCACATACAAAAGAAGAGCTGGTGCAATGCCACTGCTTGTGTCATGACATCCAAGAATAGAAACCTGCACTCCAAAAAACAGGCACGGACCCTCTGATGTAATAATTAGAAACGCATGATTGCACTGACTACATGGCCTTCCCTCTTTAAGCATACCGTTGAGAAGTAACAACCTTGACGTGTAATACAGATGGTGCCGTACTCTGTCAACTTTTGATCACGTTTGCTATTTACTTGGCTGAGCGATGAGATGAAGTATCGAGGCACTTACCCAGAAGATGAGATTGAAGACGAACATCAAATACTTCAAACAGCAGAGGCAGCCTCTTGCCATGTTAAACTTCTTGAATTCTAAAAGGAACACAAAGGATAGATCCAGGTAAAAGACCACGTACTTGCTCCCTTTGGGTGAGCTGTACTTGTTGTTGCTCTTGTCTCCTGCGCCGGCCTCAGCTGCTGCTGTTGCAGCCTGACCCTGCTGTGTGTTTTTACGTGGCCCCGTGGAGCCGTAGAAAGCACCGGCAGTGAATCCGCGGCCACCGAATGGGCGGCCGGACGTGGAGGCTTGGGGGAAATCAGAGTCACAGCTTTCTACTGAAGGGCTACGATGAATAGCTGACTCCTCACTGCTGGACTTCTCCATGCTCTAAGGCTGCTGCTGCTGATGACGATCTCCCTGATGCACAGTCTAACATAGTCTCAGAGGTGACAGGACAGTGCCCTACGAGTCCCCACTGCTTCCCAAGCAGAAATATAGATGAAGAAGACACAGATAAAAATCAAATTACATCCACCCCAAATCACACAGCTGAGCCGAGTAATTTGAGTGTGAAAGAGTCCGGTGACGAAGTGAGTGGAGCTGTACTGCTTCGGCTTGCTGATGATGTCTGGCTTAAGTAGCTATGCTTGATGCTCCCGTTCAGAGTATTACTCATGTCTTGAGACAAAATATCTTTTCTCTAGATCCTCGCTTGATATCTTCCCAGTGGCAAGTGGTCTCAGATGCTCCGCTTCCACTCCTGCTGACCCGGTAACTTTTCTCTCACTGACACTCTCTTCAGCTTCTCTTCTGCAAAGTGTGCAATTTGTTTTCCCACCGTTGCTTCCCGTGCTTTTGTAAGCACGCTTGTCTGCTCGAGAGTAGCGCGCTGCGATCAGCAGCTCTGTCACCCGCACTGCCGGTGCTCTGGTCTCCCGGTAGCTGCAGCCACACTGATGTGGTACTCGAGACGCGACTAACGGGTATGGCCTGTTTCCCAGCGAGAGCACTGCACTCCCTACCCTTCTGCGAGTCTCTCCCTCTCTCTCCCTCTTGCAATCCCTCCCCACTGCTGAGCAGACAGCCAATGCGGCAGCTGAAGGCAGATCCAAGCTCCACCTCTCCACTCCCAGTGTCTTTAATAAGCTCATCGCTGTGTTTGCTTTGACTATACATGTTCAGCAATTTATACTGTCAGGGGACATGAGAAGTCAGGGATGAATTCAACAGTGATTAAAAACTAAAAGAGGACATGACGTGCCTCACAGTTATATGGCTGGTGTCTGGTGCGTTAGAGTTGGGGGCAGAGTGCACACATCCAAGTAGAATTCGCCAAGATTTATATTCAGTTTAAATATTTTTCGACTGCTGTTGTTATAAATTTACTACGATTCATTTGGCAGATGGTAATTTATTTGCCATTTTGCAAAACTGGCTGGAATATTGGGCAGCTCTCTGATGTGGGTTAGGGTTGAAGAACTACAGCTGCGGTTTGCAGTGTGTCTGTGTTCTTCATTACAGCACTGCCCACATCCATGTAAGGGGATGCAATTTACTGGCAATGAGCTGGCTTTGGAATTTCCACCCAACGAATCAAAAGGAAGTAGCAACTTAGAGATGCTGAGCACTCTCCAAGGAGTAGTCAGGGTCAAATACTCGATAGTGCCGGTGAGTCACGCACTAAACTGACAAGATAATACTGGGCTTTGATTTAAAATCGACCTCACCCTCCAATCTAAGGTGCATCCCCAAATATGTCCTAGCAGTAGCCAATTGGAGAATTAAAGCTAAAAGGGGCAGAAAGATCACGGTGATCACTCTCCTGCTTGCATCACTTGCTAAAAAAAAAAAAAAACAAAAAAAAAAACAAAAACAAAAAAAACTGCATTATTGGATGTAATATTCAAATGAATGTTATTGGTCTTCAATGTGTCGCTGGCCAGCTCAATCTCCAGTCACAAGAAGAGATAATTTCAACACAACAGTTTTAAAAAAAATCCAGTAAAACACAGTTGCCAATGACATCCTAATACAACCCTCTTGTGTATCACAGTTGAAATAAATAAAATAAAATAAAATACGGGAATTAATGGGAGCGCTTGCATAATGGCTATACGAGAGAGATAAAGTAGTTTGGGCAATAATGGTGGACTTTACACCAAACAAACCCTGGAGTATGAATTTAAATGACACAAAGTATAAAACACAGTAAATGAAAAAACATTAAACGTAGTCCAGTATATTATTGAAAATATTTCACAGTTCAAAACAGTATCAAGGCACTTGAAGGGACGTATTCACTCAAATGTTTTTAGCGACTGAGGAAATATTTGTGTCAGATTGTTTCAATAGCTTTTTATTGAAACAGTATGGCTTTATTGACAAAAGCTAATCAATCAGTGGCGTGACTCCCTAATTGTCACTGAATCTTAATTTTCTTCTGGCAAATCGTTGGGTTTTTTTCATTTTATTTACACACATGCAAAAAACTGTGACAGTATATGATTAGGGTGAAATATAACCACTTCAATAAAAATCAATTTACAAGTTTGTTTTTTTTTTCGACTGGCGAGCTCGCAGGGCCATTAGGTATGTGGTGAATGGCGAATACATGTGCAGCTCTTTCTAGTTTCACTCATCTATCAGAGCTCAGTGGGGCTCTAAGTATTCGTGTTGCAGACTCCACAAGCAGCCTGAAGGATACTTCTGCAGTCATTTCCCTCCTGAACCTGGCACAGAATCATGAATCTACTCCAATCATCATACACAATATGTTGTGCATTGCTGCTTCATGTATACAGCAGGGCGAGATGAGAGAAGAGCAAATTGAGACTCGAGTAACAGTGGTCTGCAGGTGACACTGAGCAATTGAGGCCACAGAAGGAAAGAAAAAGGAATCACACAGAAGTCAAGAGTGGAGCAGAGAACAGGATAACAACAGTTGTATCAAGCGATATCACCTTTCCAGCACTCCCATACAAACACTGTTCTACCTCTGTTACGGCTGTGATACTACGTGAAAAGGCGTTATATTCACGCGATGACTTCACCCCTCCAGTCCTTTTATGTGTCGAAGGGAAAACAGGTGTGGAAAATGCCGGATTTTACAGGCAGGGGAAAAAGGTCTCTTGTTGAAGACAGTCAAGAGAAAAGCAAAAAAAAAAAAAAATCCAGAAAAGTGTTTATTTAGCCTGGTTATTTGGTCTTCGTTGAATAAAAAATGGTGAATGTTCAGTATCATGCCACTTTTTTCTTTAGAGGTCCTGCAAATAGTTCTTCAAAGGACCGTGATTGGTGTGTGTCATGATTCTGTTCTTGTGAGTCTCCAGCAGGGGGCAAAGGAGGGCCTTCCCTCCAGCATGCACACCTGCTGCCAATGTTTTATCAGTTAGCCAATAATTGCATGACTGCCTAAGTGTCAAGTCTCTGTCAGGATATTGACCTTGTTTGCTGCTCATGCTTGTGGTGTTTTCTAGACCTCTCGATCCCGTCATCGTCGTTTTTGCTCTCTAGTGCCTCGTTTGTCAGTATTGACACAATTTTGTCCTTGATCCCGCTCTTGTTTTGTTTTTCGTGTAATTGGACTTTCGTTTATATTCTTACCTTGCCTTTTGCAAGCGCCTTTTGCGAGTGCCTTTTGTCTATGCCTTGTTTTTCCTGGCACCTTGTGACCAGCAATTTCTGTGTTTACTTTGTCGGTGCGCTTTCTAATTAATAAATATTTTTGTTACGAATTTTTGTTTGGTTCCCACAAACGTAGACACAATCATTATTCAGTTCGTCCATGAACTGTGACAGTCTGAGCATTCACTCACAGTATAACCTTGACACAGGAAATTGTGGGAAGACGTGTGCCAATAATATAAAAAAAATGTCTTGCAATGTTAATACAACAGGTGACACAACATAGCATAACTTCAGTCAAAGACAACACAAATTACCTCATTGGCGGGATGATGAATTTATCAAAATATCATATATTTATTTTACTGTTGCACAGTTCAGTTTCGGCGTTTTATTGGAGCTAAAAATAATCGACCTTATTAAGGTGGCAAGAGCTGCATTCTATAATTCATCAGCACTTAATGAAAAATGTAATTTTACACGTGACTAACTCGCAGCTTTAATAGTCATGCCGCTACATTTGCGGTTACATTGTCCAGCGGGGAAGAGGAACAAAAAGACTAAGTTTGATAAATAAAGCCTGCTTGGTCGCTTTGCATAAAGAAGAAAAGCATCAACGTGGAAGAAAACACTTAAAATATCCTGCAACATGGGGTGTATTTATTGAGTTGACACGGGAGCAGAGAGAAACATCGAGCACTATCACTGCACCCACCGGTAATTGAGTGGTTTAGTTTTGAACACAAGCCACTGATGGTCTTGTAATGCACTGCCCTGACTTCAGCGCAGGTAGCCTGGATTCAGTTCCTACTCAGTGACAGTGTGGCTGTGCATGTAAATGGTGGTCTCACTCTCTCCATGTGCCCTGTGAGTGACTACTAATCAGTTCAGATCTTTCACACAAAGTCAGCTGGGATAGAATCAAGATCTGATCCTGAACAGGATAATGCAGATTTACTTTATGTTCCCAATGGCCACCGCAACTCCATTTGCATGAAATGCAACAAGATTTTCCCGAGGCCATTTTTTTCCCTCTTTATTTTTTATTTCATTTTTTAGAAAGGCCAACTAACACTGAATGCAGGGAACTGCAGGACATGTGTGACACTTCACAAGCCCAGCACAATATGGCGCATAGGGTGACCAGTTTGGGAGAGCAGTATATGTTGCCAGTGGTCACGGGAGTCCTGTTGTTGAATGGATTATTTTTGCTCCATGTCCAGCACGAAGTACACAGCGGTGGTTTTTTAAAATGCTCTTAAAAAAAAAAAAAAAACAGTTGAGTTGAGGGGACTGTTTTGTTAAATACAAAATATAGAGTTAAACAATACAGCTGCAAGATAAGAAGCACAAGACAAGAACTGTAACTGAATACTGTCCTAGTATATACACAAATGCAGAGAGGAATGAGTAGCTAATCTTCAAAAAAAAACCCTGGCATTTAAAAAAATGTTTTATGAATTATATGGAAAAAACTATTGTTGTTAAAAATATTCCCAAATCTTTTATAATGTTTGGAGTTCAAACCCCTCCCTTTCACACAACCTGTCAGTGCAGCTCTGTAGACGTGGGCTGTGTAATCCTTTGACAGGGCTGGTATTAAAAGATTAATTCACTGTGTGTGTATTTGCCATCTTCCTTTGACTTGTTCTGGACAGACAACTGTGGTAAAAGAAGAATTATGTGCGAAGAGATGAATCGACTCCCAGAAACCTTTATGGTGAAATGACTTGGACAACTTTCACAAGTGCTGTACATTTGCGCCATCTCTTTGTAATGTTTGACAAAAATATGCGCCGGCATGGTATTTGTAGATTGATTTATTAGCCACATTTGCTGCCATGTTTGGTAGTGTTGTGTTGTTCAAGTGATTGAATTTGTTTTCAATTTGCATTTACAGTAAATCTCTTTCTCTCTCCGCCCTCCCCCTCTCTCTCTCTCGCTCTCTCTGCCCCAATGACAAGGTCAGAAACTCAGTCCCCAATAAGTGGTTTTGCGAGATAATTGAATTCAAGATCATCTAAGCATCACACAAACGGCTCCAGCATATCTCCCAAGCCTCCCAAAAATAACATGCCGTCAATCAGTCAAATGATAATGCATCAATAATAATATTTTTTTGAAAAAAAAATTTTTTTGAAACACCAATAAATGTGTCACAGTGTGAAGGAATGTAACTGATGTCCTCTGCAGTGATAATTAGCAGCTCCTTGTATGGTCATGGCTCAGATTACAAAAGGAATTACTGCTGTATCGCTTTACAGAGTTATTGTGAAACCATATCAGAGCCGCAGATTTACAAATGACATTTAACAGCATGTGATCCTGCGATGGATGTATGATCAAGGCCGATGTAAGGAGGGGATTAAAACTAAAAAGGGTTTCCGCACGCGCAACATCCCAGCCTTTGGATCCTACAGACTGTTTGGCAAGCATGTTTGTGTGAGTGG